GTAGTGGGCGATGATGATGAACATTCCTTCCATGTGCAAATTCGCAATCGAGAGAGTGTGTTTTGAGAACCAAGGTGAAGAATGTGGGCTTTTGTGGTTCTCCTGGCCCATTGGGTTGACCCGGTTTGTGCTACTTTGTTTTTATTTGACCCTTGGATCATATGGATGGTTGAGATTAAAACGTGGTGGGATATTTTCTTAATTTAAACCTTTTATCATGTGGGCTTAGCTTCTTCGAGACTCTTGGAAAAAGGCTGTCTCTCTGTCTTCTCACTCTCACGGTCTCTTCTCTATGTTCTGCTTCTTCCTTTGGTGTTCCATGGTGTTGATCCTAAAACCTATTGTTGTGAGATTCCTATATATTACTCAGGCTTGAAATATGAGCTGGGTTAAGTTGGTTTCTCGTTGGGTTCAGGTTCGATAGAAGGGAAAACCTTGGCTGAATAAGGTATACCTTTTGTCGATGATCCTAGTCAAGGAAGAGGGGTTCTGAACCGATTCTCTAACTCTCTCTGGAAGGTGATTTGCATGGCATGGAAGGGTGTTCCTGAGCCTAACATTTCAGCCAACAAAAGGGGCAGGAAGAACTGTGACATTCGGCCGTGAGAAGAGGAGAACAAACGGTAAAAGGGAAGTGATGCCCTGTTATTTCTGGCCTTTAATTCTCTCCATTTTATGTTCTATATATTGATTCAGTTCCTATAGTCTATTGTCTACATTTTCGGTTTTATGGTTGACATGCTAATCTTGATATTGTTGTGCATATTGTAAACTGATCATGTCCTTAATGTTGAACTTTGATAGTATCCTGCTGATTTTCTGATATATGTAAATGTCACTGATGTATATGTTGATTACATATTAATGTTGATTTATGAACCTGATGAACTCCTGTGATTAGTTTAATTTAGAGGTTTAGTATGGGTATTGATTTCTGTCATTGTTAGGATGAGCTTTAGAACTCGTTTATGCTATGCATTGATTCCGCATATAGGCTGTTAATTCCCCAACANTTATTGCTGTTGGTTAATGAGTTCGGTTATTAGGCTGTTGAACTGGGTTTGATCTCTGATGACCCGCCCCGAACGGAGCAAGGTCCTAAGGTATCGTTTTTAAGGAGTTTTTTTGACATTCCTACACAACTTTACACAAGTTCTATTTTCACGGGTAATAGCACAAATATAGGCTAGAAAGTCACTTTTGTTGATTATAGGCAACCACTATGTCAACGTGTCAGTTATGCTAAAGGAAAAAAATTTACATGCATTAAAAAATAATGCAATATATACATCAACCATGACAACATGGTTGACATTCTCTCTATGTGGAGAGAATTTGTGTAATAAATGTGAATGATGAGTTCAAAATTAAGAGTGTAGATGTTGCCATATGAAATAGTGTAAAGAAAGGTGTAAGGGAAGGTATAAATGTAGCAAGATTGTGCATTAAATGTTATGTGGCTAGCATTTAATGATGAGGAAAAAGTTTACATGAATTTTGATTAAATTTTCACTTCAACCATAATGTGTACAGAAAATGTAGCCAACCTTATATAATTTATGTTGAAATTGTGGTGTTATAATTAATGAGAAATGTGGCAACATTTCACTATAATAGGGAATGCAATCGGAGAGAAATGCAACAATTGTAGAAAGATGACGAGAAGCACCGATAGTGAATAGATAGACAAGTGAAATTAAAGAGATAAATATTGATTTCTTTGGAGCGTTCCTACTTAATTTCTTATTTACAAGAGAGATTAATTGTTATTATCTCATTATATTTAAAGAGAATATTATTGTAATTTTTCTACTAATGCAATTCTCTTATTCTTGTTCGTGGACGTAGCTTAAATCAGTATAGGACAGCGAGTAGGGTCACAAACTTATTGATGCCTTGAACACGACATTGTGACTTACAAATCTAGGTCAGTAAGCTATTGAAATGAGATGATGTGTCAAGCATCTAAGGAGCTTTTGTGCCTTTCTGTCGCCTACAAATACTCACACTTAGTACCATCAAAGTGTAATCAACTTTTGATATTCTGAATGTCTCTCAAAATACAAACTCGACTCTAAATTATATTCTCTTTTCTAAATGTTATTTCTGTACTCAATATACTTTACTATCGTTTGTGTGATTAACTTGAGCTTCAAAATGTGTACGATGACATCCTACCCATTCCCTTTGTGTTTAGCGAGACTCTGGTCTTATATGTTCAACGCCTGCGTTTCAAGTGCACATATCACATATGATATACACTTGTAAAGTGAAGGTGGGACGTGTTGATGCGCGGAGGTCAAATAGAATCGATTAAAATCTTGTTTTTATATTTTGTGAATATTGTGGAATTCTATTCTAATTCATGCAATCCATGAAAACTATAGAATCTTAAAAATCCATTAGAGAGTAGACATATAAAAGTTGATAAAATCTTAAAAATCCATGCAATCCCATGTTCATTTTGATTAAAAATTGATGAAAATTTTAAATCAAAAGTAAATTAATTTAAATTATACATTTCAATTAAAACAGATTTATTCACTTTCAAAAAATAAAAACAGAAGTTCTCGAAAAATTCCCATTTAGCGATGAAGGCTCAGAAAAAAACCGACTGTACCGTTCGCATTCGGGTCCCAACGTTAAAGGCGGCCGCCGGCGCAGGCGCCGGTCTCATACCCTCATCTGCCTCGGTAAAATTATATTCTACGGTTTAATTATTTACGTTTATTTGGCTGTTGTTGAATTTCTCTTCGTTTTTTTGGAGTTCTGTCAGATGAACATGATCAAATACAAATTTTGTGAAATTACTTATAGGAAAACAGAATGATAATGGTATTTAACTATTTCCAAACAAACTGATATCCCAACTTGTATGCTATAGAGATATTATACAAGGATTCAATTTGTTTATTACATAAGGCAGATGCAGTTTGCGTCCATAGAGATAGGTAGAAATTCTGAAATGCTAGAAACTTTATTAGAGATGTCTTCCTTGCGAGAAGAGCTAAGGACCAGATACAGACTCACGGATTTGCTTTAGTCGAGCTTAACTCCACTCTCAAAGATTTGGCGCATAAGGTCGAAATGCTCCTCACCATTGTAAAATCCAGTCCTTCCGTATGATTTCTAGAAGGAAACATATGTCTGTTTATGATATGGAACACAAAAAAAATATCTATATTTCTTATGCTTGGAAATGAAGAACAAAATATAAATTTATTCATAAAATAAATTTAGAGAATTTTTTGTGTACCAATTGGTATTTTTTCAACACTTCTTGATTGCCAGAAACGACATTATGCTTTTTGTTCCAGAAAACTCCTTCATGGCTTATTAGTTCTGAGAACTTTTGGTGACGTTTCTTGAGGCTTCTCAACCTTGCCTTCAGACAGAGAACTGTAAAAATTGGGCCATAAATTTTGCAGAACTTCCTCATCACGCGCTGCCAGCTTTCTGATCTAAAAGTAGAACCTTGTATATATTCATTTTCAATCTCCTCTGCCATCAGTTTTAGGAAATAGAACTCACCTTCTCCCTCATATTCAGATCGTACGTCGGCCATCTGTAATGCATGTCATAATCAGATACCAGATATTAAAAAACTTAGAGCAATGATTATAAAATGCCCAATAAACATTTTAACAATTTTGCTATATGTAACTAAGAGAAAGCTGGAGAGAAGCTTCTAGTCAAATGCTTGATAAATACCTGCTTTCTAGTTAACCTTGTATTCGTGTTTGTGTAAGGCTATAAACTCTAGCATCTTATATAGTATGTGAAATTCCGAGTTGTAAAGAATCAACATAGATTACACGTGGATTTTAAAAATCAACAATAGATTACACGTGAGTTGTTGAAGATAGCATCAAAACTTTAGAATCGTCAAATCTAGATTATACTATTACACTAGATTACACGAATGTGTTTAATATCATTATTCATTACTTTTGAATATTTTCAAGTAAAACCATTTTCATGAAAGGTTTTTCTCACATTAGCAAAGTAAGCCATTGCTTGGGCTCCATTAAAATGGAATTTTGACGAAAAATGCGTTTTGGAATAGTTGTTTTTTTTTTGAGAATGTGTGGTTAAAAAATAAGAAAAAGTTTTGAGTTTACATGTAGTATTATTTTATGGGAGAATGCGTGATTGAAAATGAGTTTTGAAAAATGTATTTTTGAAAAAATGGAGCCCAAACAGGGGGCTAAATATTGTTTTCTTGTAATTATGAAATTTTTCAGGACTGAAATTGCCACAAAATTATCTCTATTTGTTTAATCAATTTTCAATTTATTTATAAAGAAAAAGGTGAAAAATAGAATTGTTCAAATTAGAAATTATTTCAATACAAAGAACTTTACAGAAATTTAAAACATATAAATAATTGCCATTGTTTAAGAGGCAAGTACAAAAATGTTCAATAATGTGGCATGTGAAAGACTTAAGTAGTTAGTTTATATTTTGTAGTTCATTGTTCTTAACGAAAAATACTTAATTAACACAGTTCAATAAATTCATATCTTAATTGCATGGTATTCTACAATTCTAATTCATTTTTAATGAGAAAAAAAATTAAGAAAAACAGATACCAAATTTAACCCTTATTACACCAATATTATGACGTGTTTGGAAAATTAGAGTTTGATAGAAGAAATTGTCTTCATTCTAGAAAGGAAGAAGAAGGTTAAATTTAAAATATGCATATGGTTGTCCTTTAGTTTAAAAGATTGTGTCTATAAAACTTAGGCAACGTTTGTCTTTTGATTTAGAAGGCTCTATGGTCAAGAGGTGAGTCCCTTCTTTTCGAATTTTGCACCTTTGCATCTCTCAGGATTTCTCATCAAACAATTCTCCTTTTGACCTGCTTTACAAGTAACCTTGTATTTGTGTTTGTGTAGAACTCTAGTAGCTTACAGTAATTAAAAGGTCGAGTCTGGAAGAATCTGCAATAGTTTACCATGTGAATTTTTTGTTTACATATAGGAGACGCCATTTATGTTTTGTAGATGTAAATGCATAAAGAGTAATGCATTTGTAGCATGAGAACTTCTAACAAATGTTACACAAACAAGAATTTACTAGAGCTCAAACGCACAACAAATAATAGAACAAATAAAGCAAAAGCGTTATGTTCTTGCAGTCAACTTAGTAGTGTAAAAACAAAGTAACTGGAAAGAGTTCGTGACAACATATTCTATTGATATAATCTAACTTTTAGGATTTGAGAAGTCAGTCATGCTGTTGAAGAATCAATGATCTTAATGATAATTGAAGTTTTCTTAATACAGAATGACCCCAAAAGACAACATTTCTTAAGTGAGGGTTTTCTGAAAACCTGAAATCAAAGCTGTGAGATTTCAATGTTAAAATCCAAAAAATGCCATTGCCTTGAGAGTTTCGACGAGATTGTTCAACTCCTCATCAAAAAATCCACTCATTGTCCATTTTTATATTTCTTATGGTAAAATATAGGTACAATGGTCAATCATTGATCAAGATTCATTCTTGAAATATATGCTTAAATTGATTGTAAAAAACATTGATCTAGCAAATTAAATTCTTGATAACAAAGTTAAAGTTCTAAATCGAAAAATTCTAGCTTTACTATTTGGAATTCACTAATCTGGAATAATGCAAAACTCTGTGATCCTCGTAGTGAAATATGGCTTTTTGAACTTGGAAAATGAAATTCTAAACCAAGAACTATGGACAAACAATGAGTTTTGTATATATAATAGTAAGTGAAATGCAAAGTAGGAAAACATCTGTATGAGTGTGTGTCTATGTATCTGTATATATTGACATTTGTGAAAGAATTTAATAGAAAGCAAAGCACGTTATATATATACGTAATTGATCTCCTAAGTACTTGTGATTAGATTGTGCTAAGCACCAGGTAACCAGCCATTATCTCCCACCCCCTATTGTAATGTGTCATTTCATTCAGTGTTTTGGAGATTATATATGTGTGCGCGCGCACGTGTGTCTGTATATTTCTACATGCAAGCAAAGAAAGCATAATAGTAGACACACTCACATAAAGGATAGATGCATACATTAATTCGTACACACATATATAATCTAACTTTTATTATTTGAGTGAACGAAACATCACTTCCAATGCTGCTCTTCAAGCATTGAGGGTCATTAAAAGAATATCATGTTTTCTTCATACAGATTGCCTGAAAAAATTAATAAATGTTCCTAGTTTGGGGTTTACAAAAAGCGGTGAGATGTCAGTATTGAAATCCAAGAAATGCCATTGCTTTAGAGTTTCAATGTGGTGGTTCAACCCCTCATATAAATACTTGTCTTTAGGGTTCCAAATTAAGATATTCTAGAAAGTTGACTAAGAAATTTAAAAATACGTATGGTGTTTTTGCATTTTTCTATTAGTTCTTTTGGTTATAATGGAGATATGTATACGAACTACTTCCTATGTTGTTTGAACTCTCCATTCTAGAGAAAGTACTCTTTTCGGACACATGCGACAAGGGATAAGGGTATGTGATCCTTTTCGGATTTTTTAAATCAAAAGAGGATCCTTTATTCCATTTTTGTTGTTTCGGTGTTTTATTTAGAATGATTTCTAATTTGTAGTTCACTTATCTAGGCTCGGAATAAAATTCAAATTAAGTATCATTATTTGCAATTCAATTTGTTATAGCTTTTCATATAAATGTATAATATATATCCAAAAAACTGCATCTAAAATTATCATTTATCAGTATATAAATTTATAAATGAATTTCTAAAGTGATTTGAAGTTTATAAGACACTTTCACATACCCGTTTTAAATATTTGATTCTTTTTAGCCGTATGCCCACATCTAAGATTTTTTTTTTTTAAAAGATTTGAGTCCTACATATGTACCATGATCAAACACCCATATTCGAGTCCAAGGCTCCAAGCAACATAGACTACTTTTGCTCCTTAACATTATCTTCAATATTAAAATTACTGTTGGCAATGGCTTTATTAACTTCAATAACTACTCGAAATTGATGTCTTTGCCAATTATATTAAGCTTACTCTCCCGAAAAAATTCTACACATTCATTTGATAAGCAAAAATAAAGAAGTTAATTGAGCTTATATATGTTCCTTAACACACTTAAATTGTGTCTCTGCCTTTGGTTTTTCTTCGTTTTATACTTCTCCCTCTTTTGAGGTCTAGTAAGATGGGGGGTTTGGTTAAGATTCAAATCCTCAATCTCAACGGTTGGGGAAGACCTTTATTTGCTTGTAAGGATCTTAATGATTACAAACTTATAACGTATGTAACCAATAAAAGTTCATTTTTATATTTTCTTATGGGCAAAACAATTTACATAGGTGGATCAAGATTCATCCATTCAACATGTATCATGCTAATTGTATAGAATTTGTGAGTTAGAAATCAAATTTTTTAGAAGTAAATTTAAGCTCTAAACCGAATAAGTTTTAGCTTTACTTTTTCACAATAAAAAATATAAGTAAAATGAATCAATAGCTTAGATCTTTTGAGGCATAAGCGGGTTTGGTATTTATTATACTTAGTGAAATGTTGTGCTTGAAAGAATCAACATTAGATCATATGAACTAGATCTGAAAATATAAATGGAATTTGGTTAAATACGTTAAAGTTTGTATCCATTAATGTAAAACTCGTATTGTATGTGATTAATAAAAGCACATTTCATACTTTCACGTCTAAATTCATGTAATTTAGTGTTGATTCTTTCAAACGCAACATTTTAATAACTATAATGTATACCATGAAAATATAAAATGGAATTTGGTTAGATACGTCACGAGTTTGTATATGTTAAGGTAAGACTTGAGTCTATTGACCAATAAAAGTTCATTTTATATTTTCAAATCTAAATTCATGTAATCTAATAAGGACCTTAACTACAAACTCTTAATGAATGTAACCATTGAGAGCATGCTTGGGAAGTGTTTATAAAAATGTTTGTATTATAAATAAATAGAAATGAAATGAGTGGTGGATAAGTGTGTTGTACTTGTGGGTCCTGGAAATGTGTGGATAAAAAGTGGATGCAGTGTTTATAAATAGTTAATGAACATAAGCCTAATATAGACTAAAAGTGAAATTTATATTTTCTAAAGGGGAAAAAAATTATTTTTGTTAATCAAGATTCATTCTTGAAAATATATGCTTAAACTGTGATGCAGGAGGGTCCGAGTC